TTTATTATTTTCGCATTTAATTTTCGCACTTTGATTTCTGTGATGAATCTTGGTTTGTGTTTTGATTGCTAAAATATTTTATTTAAAATACAAATTCACCCCTTTTAGTTAGCATTGGGACTAAGTCATAAGGGCCTAACATCCCTAACGAACTTTCAAGTGGTATTAAAGTAGGATTCATAAAAATAAGTTTTTAAAAACTTTTGAATTTTGATCAATGGCTAATTTTTATAATCATAATATTACGGAAGATTTTTCAATCACCAGACCACCTTTGTTTGAAAATATTACTTTTTATTTTTAGAAAATTCGCATGTCTACTTTCTTGCAATCAATTAATTTTCGAATATGGCAAATGATTTTAACTGGTTATTTTATACCGTCGTGTACTATAGATGGAATTAAAACTGAGATTTCTTTTAATCAATGGAGTAAGGAAGAACAAATCAATGCTCAATTGAATACAAAATCATTAAACTATTTATTTTGTGCTTTAAATTTTGAAGACTTTATATTTGCTTCCACGTGCACTACTGGTAAGGAAATTTGGGATAAATTACACACTTTATACAAAGGCACTAGTAAAATAAAGCAATCCATATTAAATATTTTAATGAATGATTATGAATTCTTTTGCATGAAATCTTATGAGATGATCTTAGACATATATACTAGGTTTATTCAAATTATGACATCATTGCATGCCTTAGGTAAAGAATTTTCAAATTTTGAAAAAGTTAATAAAATTATATGTTATATACTTGATAAGTTTGATGCTAAAATTATTGCTATTTGTGAATAAAAATTTTGAATGAATACTATATAGATAATTTGATTAGCTCACTCATTGCCTACGAGCAAAGTTTGGGTTAAAAACTTTTGGATGTAGGAGAGATGATAGTGCTAAACGCTGAAAATATGGAGAAAAGTGGCTTAATTGGTGACGAAAGCGATAACTTGTCAAGCAAATTAAAAAGCTCACCAAAGCATAAGCATTAACAAAAGTTGAATAAAGGTAAAAATGTTAAGAATGTTAAGATTTCTTCTGAAGTTTTTTTCTTTGGATGTAGGAAGCCTAAACATATGAAAAAATCAGTGCCCTAATTTGAGA